TTGTTCAAATTTGAGTTGCATCGTGTGGCCCATACAAATAAAACAAAAGCGCATGTATCAAACAGCTCACCGGGCACTTTGGCATTGCCGTGAACGTTTTCAATTTTTTTATTTCTTCGATTTTGGCAAATTTCCTATTGAATATTTCAACTATTTCCGCTTGGTAGCAGTCATCTATTGACTCTTTGCTTAATTTCCGTTTTTTCTTAGTTTTTCAATATTTTTATTCGTTCTGCACTTTGGCGTGCTTGCTTGCACCACATATGGACAGCCAGCTGAACATCTGCTTTACAGTTCATTTGTCATCGAATTGAATTTTACTTGTCAGTTTTCTTTTCCACTTCTGACTGGCAGCACTACATGGCGTATGCGCAACTTATTTGCCGTCTGTCATAGATACGGGAAGGAAAAAAATGAAATTAAATGCATCCGAGTGTGAAATTGCCACGAGCCATAAAAGAGTTACTAAACGATACTGATAAGCAAGTGAAGCAAGAGCTGGCCAATGGAATATGCGCAAAACAGAAAATGTATTTATCATTTATTGCTGTACAGCCACAAAGTTAACTTCGTTTGAAGCAGTTGTAAATAGCATCAATAAAATGTGCTTGATTGAAGCATTCAGTGAGAGGAAATGTATAAAACCAATGTTTTCAATCATCAATATTCTAGAGAGCATTTCAAAGTGTTTTATTTTCAATGGAAACATAAATGTTTTTTTTTTGAATATTTATGTGTACACTATGAAAAATAGCATATGCATTCTAATAATCTGAAGAGAAGGTTACAAATTGAAATTAAAATATATATAGTTGCTATAGCCTTAGCTTAAGTTAGATTTTGGCTCTCGGATGAGCTTAAGTCAGCAAGCTAAAAATAAATAAATTATATTTGTTTTCTGATTTTGAACTGTTAACAGAGTATTGCTTAGTCTTTAGAGCTTAGAAGTATTTTATTTGTTTTTAAATTCTCAATGAGTCAAATAAAAATGAAAAACATTCATTTAAACTTTAAGCCCAGGGGCAGAGTTCGTAACGCAGAGCAGAGACTATTCCCAAAGAAGAGCTCAAATCTTGGGCCAGAAGCCGCGGTAGGTCCCAACATAGCCATAAATTTAAGCGTAAAAAAAACAGACGTTGGAATGAAAAACCAAACAAAAAAATCATACAAAGAAAGAGTGAAAGAGAGATAGAGAGGCAGAGAGAGAGAGAGAGAAAGAGAGAGATAGAAAGGCCGAACAGAACTTGCGACCAAGTTACGCCCGAGGAATTGTGCTTAATTTACTTTTGCTTCCCTTTTGCAGGATCCTCGCTTTCTTTTACTTTTTCTTGTTCCATTTCTTTTCGTTTTTGTGGCTTCCTGCTGCGGGCCTAATGACACTTTAAAAAATTTCATTTATTTGTATAATAAAAATATGCATTAGCTGAAGCTTAACACAATTAATTTGGTAAATGACCAAACATTTAATTTACGTTCAGCTCGGGCATTTGCTTGCTTGTCCATAAGGTCTTGTCCATAAGGCCTGCCCGGCATACCACAATTGATGTTTAAGTATATTGCTTTTAATATAACTGGAGGAGTTGCCCCGTTCATGTAGATGCAGCAAAATGATGTTGCTAAAGTGCAAATGGTAAGTGGCAGCATCCCATGACGTTGCCTTAGGGGAGACGCGCGCGGTTCGCAAAAGCAGCGGACTCTCAGCAAAAACATTGCCTTTTGTTTAACAGATGCATTAAAATAAACAAGCAACCAGCTTGATAACGAAGTGCCAATGCTCTATAGCTAAATGAAGAGTTACAGCTAAGGCAATCTCTGCAATTTTGGATGGCAGTGGCGGCAATGCAGATATCAAAGTAAAGAAATAAATCGAAATATTTGAAATCCTATTTTTAAATACTATTTTTTAATTTATATTTACCAAAACATTAATGTAAGAATGTGCTCTAAAAATGTTTTGAACTGTTAACATCATAGTATTTCCCTATAGATGAACAACAAATGAATGCTTCTTTTATATATAGAAAGAAGAGTATGCTAAGGCTTATAGAGACAACGCAGCATATAGCCATGAGCATGTACGCATAACAGCCCACACACAGACGCACACACAGAATGGCAGCATCCGTGGGTGTAGTTGCTAGAGTATCCGGAGCGTCGACAGCAGCAGCAGCAGCAGCGCGGGGCATTAAGCACGTCGGCAACATAAATATTTTAATTTTGCTAAAAATTTTGTGCTGAAAAGTCGCTTTTTTGCATTAGGAAGTGCGAGGCGAAGACACATACACACACACATACACAGCATTAACTAAACAAAATGGCGTCGACGAAAGGATGCGCATCGCAGCGCAGCGTAGCTGATTGTTGTTGTGGCCTGTCAGCCTGGCTGCCTGCCTGCCATGGCGATGTTTGTAATGATAAGCGTTGTTAGTGTTTTGCTTTAATAGGCAAAATTATGTTCATACACACACAGACACACACTTACACACACAAAGGCTTTGACTCAAACACGGCTCAAAGGCATAAATTATTGCGGTTAACAGACAACAGACAGAGCAGGACACATAGCACTAACAGGAACAGCAACAGCAGCAGACGCTGCACTAACTGAATGGCCGCTGGCTGCGTCGAGCTTTGGCCAAATTAAAATATTGTCGGTCTGGCCCACATGCAGCATAATGAGGTAAATGTGACTAAGACCAGATATACCCTATACTGCGAAGTATGTGCAAGGTAGTTGTGTGTGCAGACAGCTAGCGTGAGCTGTAACTACTTTCAGACAAGCTCTACTTGATGTTCACTCGCTTATGCAGATGAACTTTAACAATGTTCGTTCAGATAGCACAGAAAGCACTTGTAAAATTTATGAATTGTTGAATAGTTTATTGATTATTTTACAATTTTACCCAAAAAAAATTAGCCAATTTGAACAACTTTTATTATTCCAAAGCCAATATCCGAAATAGCTGTTATTAACCTCGGAGATTGGCTTTATTGAACCTATATTGAAATATATATGGTTAGCTTAGTCGTTCGACATATATAGTTCGAGCGTAATACTAACTGTTAACTTGTAAGCATATGACGATTGTTCTGAATGCGTTTTCCATCTTGTTCTATTGTTCTTTCTCTCGCTCCTTTTGCACGAACAGCTCTGCAGCATCTGCTTACTGAGTTGAACCGCGTCTTTGCGCAACAGCTTTAAATATGGCATATAAAATACCGATGCTGATCGCCAGTATTACAAGACTTCTGAAGAAACCACTTAATACGGAGTAATCGTCATCCTGGTAATCCATGCCGCCGCAGCTGGAATGATGTGGGCAGTGATGGTGATGGTGAGCTCGCTTCTGCTGAAAGGCATTTGAATTATGTTCACAAGGCATCTGCTGGCTAGAGAACAAAAACTTGAAAGCCTTCATTGGTAATTCCAGTATAACTTCAAAAATCGATGGGTTAGGAAAACACTCCGGATGCTCCTTTCTTAAATAGTTTTCACAAGTTCTGCCATTCGGTGAGACTTTACAAACCAAATTTAGAGCTTGGTTATAAGGATGTTTCCAAGACATGCTCTCCAAAACTTAAAAATTTTTATATAACGAATTGTTATTCGTTGAAAACCAATTTCAATTCTGTACTTGACTGCCACTAACAACAATTCCAAACCTAATACATTGTTTGCCTTTCGACTTGCCACAAATATCTGACTTTATATTGTTTGTTAACTTTGTTTATTTACTTTATTTACTTTACGCTTCGAACATCTTGCTCATTTGCACAATTTTAAAGTAAAACCTTTAATAAAATCCATCTAACTTTTTTCTTTATGCAGTTTTAAAACAATATTATCAGAAGTCCTCACATCATTTTCTTCCACATCCAGAGCGGAGGAATTTTAATTAATCACTGATCACGTTGCTGCTCAATTGCGCGCACAATTTCCGCCGACTTCACATTATCAGGAAAATATGCTCTCGCATTTTGATGCATAGCCCAATTTTAATTATAATAAAAATAAATTAACTGAATGTTTAAGTAATTTATATCAGTATTTTACAGCTTTTCTTTGTCCATTTTTATTAACTCTTTGTAGCAGCTTTCATTTGTGGTTAATTTCGTTGCCACTGCTAAGAAACTTTTTAATCTGACAACGAATAAAATTCGAAAATTAGCTGCTTATCGAAACAATATGATAAACATATTAATTGAAGTTCAGTTCAAAAATGTATTTTAAATGAAAAATAGTAGGCAATGTGATTGCAAGCGAAAAGTTGCTGACATCTAAAATCGTCAGTCGAGCTCTATCAATCACTTGAGCAGCTCTGATTAGTGCAAATTCATTTAATTTTTGTGTATTTTACTTTGAAAATGGAAAATACCGAGGTTTTGATTGATTTGGAGGCAAGTCCAATAACTAATGCCAACGGTAAGCGCAGTGCAGAGGAGCCTCGTGCGGAAGTCGACAGTCGGGAGTCAGCGCCAAAAAAACCAAGGATCCGCAGTCGTGAAGGCAACCCTCTGCGTTGGGACAACAATAAGGACAACGTGAGTGTGAGTCTAGAAATTTGCTTGCTGAAATATAAATATATATACAAATATATACATATTAATATAAAAATATATATCTATTTTCTATAATGGTTCGTTCCGTATGGTCCATTTTCTATTAAGCCAGCTTCTCGGTAACTGAATGATTTGCCCCAGTATCCGTCATTGATACATAAACAATATCTGTGTACATTTATAATATATTTATTTGCGTGATTTGCCTACAGCCTCCTAAGCAGCCTATAGTGGTGCATGATGACAATTCTCCTGCGCGTGATCAGCCGGAGGCTGAGCCTCAATCTCATTCTAAAGGTTTTCGTTCTCGCGTTGCTGGCAACGTTGGCGCTCAAGGAGAACAGCGCTTCAAGAATCGTGGATCGCGTAATGGTAGTGGCTATGGTGGTGGTGGTGGTGGTGGTGGTGGTGGTGGTGGTGGTTATGGTTATGGTGGTGATGGTAACGGTGGTCGTTATTCGTATGGTGGTGGCGGTGGTGGTGGTGGTGGTGATGGCGGTGGCGGTGGTAATGGATTTGGCGGTGGCTTCCATTCGAACGGAGGCAATAGCCACAAAAGTCATATGCAGCGCAGCGATGATTATTTCATATCACAGCGGCTGCGAAATATTAGTGGCCCAACTCTGGAGCTGGCGCCAATGAGTGATGAGGAAGTTATATTTTCTGGACGCAATCGGCTGTATGTCGGCAATTTGGCCACTGAATTACAAAAGGAGAAAGGCTTGCGTGAGTTGTTCAACCCTTATGGCGAGTTGGGGGATATCTTTTATGGTCCCGATAAGAAGTTTGCGTTCGTTAAGGTCGACTATCATGCCAATGCCGAGAAGGCCAAGCGTGCTTTGGACGGTACAATGACCCATGGAAGACAGCTGCGCGTCCGTTTCGCAGCCAGCGCTACGTCGATGCGTGTTAGGAATCTGACACCTTTCGTCACCAATGAGTTGCTCTACAGGGCTTTCGAAATCTTTGGGCCTGTCGAGCGGGCCTACATAATAGTTGATGATCGTGGCAATCATATGGGCGAGGGCATTGTAGAGTTTGCCAAGAAATCATCGGCCAACATCTGCTTGCGCATGTGCCAAGAGAAGTGCTTCTTCTTAACTGCCTCGCTGCGTCCATGCATCGTAGAGCACAAAGAAATGACAGATGAGAACAATGGATTCCCCGAAAAGTCCATCACCAAGAATAGCCTATACAACAAGGAGCGCAGCTTTGGTCCACGCTTCGCTGAACCAGATTCATTCGACCATGAATACGGCTCCAGGTGGAAGGAGCTGTATCTGCTAGGCAAAGCCAAAGCTGCAGCTCTCAAGCGTGAAATGAAGCTTGAAGAGCAAAAACTGGATGAACAACTTGAGCTCATTCGCTATGAGCGCGAGACCCAGATCTTGCGTCAAGGTTTGCATCACAACATATATGAAATTACACCTCATTCATGCCATTTCCACTTTGCATCATTTGCAGAACTTCGAAAACGTGAAGCTGACAATGAGCGATTGAAAATGGAGTGGGAAATGCGTCAGAAACAATCGATGGAGATGGACCTGTTCGATGATTCGGCCATGACGCGTCGTCAGAACTTCCAGATGCGTCAGGATATCCCGTTGAGACGTCGCCAACAGGAGAGGCCTATTTATAGATCGGAGCAACCAGATGGCTTTGGCGGCAGCTGTGACTATGCTAACAGAGATATGAACATGGAAAACACGCCTTTTGTGGTCTTTGGAGGTAAAATATATTAACTTTAATCAGTATATTTTAATTCGAATTTAATATTTCATGCCAAATAGATGCACAAAATATTGGAAATCTATCTGGATCTGCTACCCATAATCAGGTACTGGGAAATATTACATATCATTATATATTAACACTTCTTCAATTTAGGCTGCATTTGATATCAATTTTGATGATCGCAATCGAAATATGGTACAAGGAAATGAGGATATTGGCGATAATGCTCTATGGGGACGCCGCTCTATGTAAAAAGAAAAGCTCAAAATCAAATACATAAGAATTGTTTAATTTGTATGCTTTTTTTAATAAAGACCAATCAATTATTCGGCTCGGCCATACGGCGTGCTAGTCGGATACCTGCTCATGCTCCACAATAGTTGGCATATTGTATAAATGTATAAGTCTATCCACATAAATCTGGCTTCTATAGCTCATTCTTCGTTGTGTGTGTACACATCTATGTAGCTGAGCAGCTTCTTGATTCTATCATTTGATTTACAGGTTTGTTGACGCGCAGCACACATGTCACGCCATCAATGGCAGACAGCCGCCAAGAGCACACTTGACAACGAGTTGATTGACAGACGAGTTGGCGACAGACTCGCGGACAGACAGGCCATAAGCCTCAAGTGCATTTGCCTCCTGTTTCGTATTCAATCTCACATTCATCAATCTGCATAGTCAAAGCGCGCAAAATTTTGATTTGATTGCAGAAGATTTCAATTTTAAATAGAGAAAATGATTTTTATATCAAATTGATTGCTTTGTGCCTTTCATTTGGAGCATGGGGAAGTGCGCAAAAACGTTTTATGTTAGCTTTATTTTACCGCAGCGAAAACATTGCATCATTTAGAGGAATTACATAATTAAGCGCATTATATCATTTGCCACGCAATTAGTGTTGCGGCATTATATTATGTTCTGTGGTTGTAAGTATTTTTAGTATTTCTTTTTTTAAATTTATTTTTATTTCTGCATTTATTTTGCAATTTAACTGTTAAATGGTTTAGATGGTTTTGCTGAGGACAGAATGCTGTGACAGAATTTTCGTTTTCTAATTCTATTGTTATTTATATATTAAATTAATTTGTACATAATATAGAATTTAATTATTGTTGCCCTTTTTGAAAATGCCTTTAGTAATGAAATAAATATCATAAATTGAGTATCTCGAATACAATTTTGTTTTTAATATATTAGAATTTTACTCAATGCAAATGCTTGATTTGCAATGCAAAATGCTTGATTTGAAAATTAGATTAGATTATTAAAACACATTTAATAGTCGTATATTTAATATAAGCCACAATGATTAACAACTGCTGTTGGCACTTCACTTCGCTCGTACCACATTGCGTATGCTTAATGAGCGCACAGTTGAAACCTTGAAATGCACTTAAAATTCTTGGCTTTAGCATTTTGACACCGATTTTGGTTTTTGTTATCGACTTGTTTGGCTTGTTGTACATGTGTGTGTGAGTGTATGTAAATGTGAAAATTGGCACACTTGCTGCATTCTGCATTCTGCATTCTGCATTCTGCGGTTTTCTAAATAACTCGCCAACCGCATTTGTTGGGTTTTCAGTTTTGCAGAGAACACCGCCTGGCTATTTCTATGGCTGCCCTCTAATCACATGACCCACATATTGTCTTTGAGCTCCGGTCAAGCTTTAATTTGTTTTCAACATTTTCTAGTCTCTCGCTATCAACACACTTTCAGCAAATTTGTGCCGCCAGCTGAACACGATTCGAATTTCCTCGTTTGCAACTTTTTTTGTTTAACCTTCAGCGAGTTTGTTATTATTTATTTGATATTATTTTATATATCATGTTTTCTATACAACTATTATTTAGCCAAAATACTGAAGTCAACTTTGTATTTTTCCTTCAAATAATTGTGTTGTGAAAATATTTTAAAACATATTTCAGGCAAAAATTCAGGCTTCATCTGCTGCCATTTGCACATATACCTTAACATGCACAATCATTTACCAGCTGCATTCACAGACTCAAACACAAATATGAAAACTATTCTTATTTACCTTTAGAGCAGGCAGCTAAAGAAACCAGACTCAATATTAATTTTAAAGATAGTTTTTAGTTTCTTTAAGGCTTGGTTTCCTTTTTAAAGTTTTATTTTAATATTTTGCTTAAATTAACATATTTTAAAAAGGAACTATTTATATATGATTGCTTTAGTTAATTAAAATTAAAGCTTAGGTTTTCGATTCTTATAATTAAATGCCTTATATTTTATTTTTCTAGCCTCTTTAATGCCGCACATAAAATGCATGAAAACTGAAAACTATACGCAGAAAATACAAATGAAAATTAAAGGCAAAAAGTGCGCATGGAAACATCGATTATACAGAACAAGAAACGGGAACGCACGCATACAAGCACCAGCTGGGCATGAGTGTGAGTGTGAGTATGTGTGTGTAGCTGTGTATCTGTAGATGTGCGTTGTTCATTTGTATTTTTAGTAAACGCATCGCTTCACATTGTGTTTTGTTATTATAATTGGTTTAAAAAATGTGAAAGTGGGAATATTAGTTGATTGATACCAAAATGTGGCAGGGGGACTAGTTATCTATAGAAGTTAAAGGTAAAAGTATGTACAATATAAAGCAAACGAGACGGAATCCTAATTGATCTTAATATTTCTTGTAACTTTTTATAGAGTATTGTTTAGTCAATGCGTGTTAGCTGCGCTATTTTTTCGACCAATTTTTGCAGTGAATATCAAATGTTGTACCACGCACAAATTTCTAATATTTTTATATTTTTGTTTATTAAAAATAGTTTTTAACTAGTGAAACACGGATATACTACAGCTCATAGTTCGTAAACGATATCTTTCAGTTATGGTATTCCTTTATTCGTCATGGTTTCTATCCCCTTGCTGTATTTTTTGCTACCTGCTTTATGGCTTTCGATGTAAGCGCAGCAGAAGCTGCATAAAATGTTGGCAACCTTTGGGGCACGCTAAATTGTGGCAGCGACCAAAGCAACAGCAAGCAAAGCTTTAGGCAACCAAAAATAAAGCTAAATTAAATTTGTGGCTTGTAAGTGTATGTGTGGCTTGAGCTGCTGCTGCTCCTGCTGCTGCACTTAATAATTATAATTAATGCAAGAGTCAACAATTGTGCAACGGAGGCAACACTAAAGGTGCGTTGACGTGGGCGTGGCTGGGCATAAAGCGCACGTTGCAAGCAGCCAGCTGTGCGGCACACAAAACTTTAGCTAAAGTTACTTTGTAAAAGCTTTGTTTCAATATGCCGTCAGAAGGTTTTATAATTTTTGTCACTAAATTTATAGAACGCAGTGAGAAGAATACCTTGAAGGCATTCCGAACTTCTCTTCATTTTCTTATGCCGTATTGCGCTATAGCTCGGCAGAAGGCGTACATAAAGCATAAAGGGCTTTGCCTGGCACTTAAAGTGGCAAAAAGTTACTTAGAACTGCCCTGAAGACTACAATTAATGAGCATTTTCAATTAAATAACAAGTTGTGCTACTTTAGAGACAAATCAAGCCTAGTCTGCTGTTTATTGATCCGTCACAGGCTCATTACCATCCAAAACAGCTGAAGATGATGGTCATGTGGTTAGATAGAGTGGGCGATCGACTTGTTAAGTGCCTAACAATTGATGTGCTACAGCAAATTGGTTACAAAGTCAAATGGGGTTTGTAGCTGTTGGGGAGTCCAGGTGCACAGGTCCAGATGCAGCAACTGCTCAAAGCCAATTGACACATCTTGCAGTCACGGAGTACTTGACTTTGCCAGGACATTGAATCGTCTGTTTGCGGTGCAAAGTGCCGTTATGCAGCTGCCCCTCGGCTGCCTACTCGCTACGCAAAACCTTTCAGGCTTCAATACGCTCAGCCATGTCTGTCTTTGGCACTTATATCATTCTGTCAGTTTGTGCGTTTGCGTTTTAATTAACTTACATCAGCTTAATGAACTTTCTCAACTAAGTGTGTGTGTGGTGATGTGTGTGTGCTGTATGAGTGAGTGAGTGAGTGTGTGACAACTATGTCATTAGCTTTGACAAGGCTTTAAGATTCTAGGTAATGGACATGCAAGTAACTGGGCATTTTCGTTTAGCTAGAATTACTATTCGCCAGATCTGTCCTTTTATATAATCAAAAATCTGCCTGAAACCGCACAGATTATACATATTAATATACTTTGTCGGCTGGAAATTTAGTTTTCGCTTAAAGAGAATCGTCCATGCCCAGTTTATAAAATCTGCAGCCGGCAATAGTCAGAACAATTTGAACAACTGAAATCCAAAAAAATTTATAATATATTTTTTATCAAGAGTTTTTCAAGTGCTTCAACTTACTTGGTAGATATATGAGGTATATGTAAAATATAGGCATTACGCAGCTGATAATGAGGCCGATTATGAATAGATGGTGTCCTTTCTGGTCAAAACGAAGGAGAGAAAATATAAATACAAATGCATTTAAGCTCTTTAAGTATTGAAATTGATTTACAAATACAAGTGATATAAACATCATGATTCCAGATATTAGATGCACCACTAGTACTATAAAAAATGTCCATCTGAATTGTGCTTGAATGACTTAAAGTTAATTGAAAGCAAATCAATTAGATTGAATAAATTAAATAACAGAGTCACTTACAGATGGGATATACAAAGAGGGAAATTAAGCCTACTATCGCATGCAATAAGGTCCAGAATACAAGAAATTGAACTTTCACCTGAAGGGGGCAACAACAACGATCTAAACATGCACAAGAGGAGCATAGACACATGTTGAAATAAATAGATATAAAAATCAAATTTTAGCTTTGGATTGTTCAATTAAATAGAATTTGAAGTGTTACTTGAGTTAAATGATTTCTAATTTTTTACACTAGTTTAATTTTGAAAAATCTATCATAATCGAAATTTTCATATTCCGAAAATTACTGTTTATTTCAAGTATTTGTGTTGAGCTACGAGAAACGAATTTTAATTTATGAAACTTGATTTAGATATTTTCGAGAGCTCTAAAAGAAACAATTTCAAATTTATTGAGCTCAAGATTTTAACTTTTTTTTTCTACTTTACTGTTAGTTTTATATACGTTTTTTAAGACTTTACTTGCTGCAGTTATTAAATAACGTATATGAGAAATATTGGTAATATTATATAAAAGAAATACCTATTTCAGCCAAACCCCGACTGGCTATTCTCATAACCTTACAAGCTAACCTCTCATATTTAAAGGCACACATATTTAACACAAAAGTTTTTAGGCGTTAGTACGCTACAATATTTGATTTACACAAATATATATACTAATATATAAGAGCTTAACATTTTTTCTAGGTTAACTTTTCGCGCACAGTGCAACATAAATTAAAATGTCATTAACTTTTGCGCTTGCCACAGTTTGTTGCTAGTTTGTTCCTACTGCTGCTTCCCGTTTTGCCAAGCCCAACTGCCAAGCGCAAGCTGAGAGGTAAACCATTCATTTTTTTATAATTTAGCCAAAGTTTCACTCTGCACACAAATCCATTAACAATAACAATAAATATTAACAAAGCCATTTGCTGGCTACAACGCTTCAAGTGGAACGTAAAATTCTTCAATTCTGATTTAAATTACAAGCAGAAAATGTCCGAATTGTGCAGATGATTGAGACTGACTGCGAAATGCTCTATTCTGAGCTAGAAAACCAATGATATATGAGCATTCAAGTCTACATATTCTGATATCTAGGAAATGGATATGGATGGCTGCAGATCTAGATTCATTGAATGTTTAGAGTTTCATAACAAGCGTAAGTATCCTGGAAAGGCTTTGGGCCTCTCTATATATTGAGCAATATTTGAGATATATAATTTAAAAAGTATAGACCCTTTGACAAATTCTTCTAGCTATTGCCTTTGCATCATCTGCAGCTCAGCTTCTTAAATTTACAATTTTACTTTTATCTTCACAGCAACTATCTGGACTTCTTTTCGTTCCAGTAGAGCTGATTAAAAATGTTGACGGCAAAAATAAAGGGAATTACTAACCCACGCAGTGAAACTTTCGTTTGAGTCAAACAAGGTAAAAGACGAACGTGGAATGAGTTATAAGTGGTTACAGCTGCTGTGCTTGAAGCTGTCAAAGATTCTATTTGCTCACCTTTGCGAATGTAGCCCGGCAACTGAGCAGGAAATTAAAAACAAGACTGAAAGCATCATTTACTTGACCGACTGAGGGGAAGAGGAAGAAAAGGCAGCGACTAGTGCATGGCTGCACTGTAATAAGTCAGGGACATTGGCGACAGCCAGAAGTATGGTAAAAAGAAAAATTGATATACAAATGGGTTAGCAGTGCAAGGCTATCGAGCCGGCGTATCGCAAATAGCAAATGGAAACACAAAAAATACGAATTTATGGGCAAAGAGCACGGGACATTGGCGACAGCCAGAAGTATGGTAAAAAGAAAAATTGATATACAAATGGGTTAGCAGTGCAAGGCTATCGAGCCGGCGTATCGCAAATAGCAAATGGAAACACAAAAAATACGAATTTATGGGCAAAGAGCACGGGATGCAAATGGATGAGTCCAGGCACGAGCTCAAAGGTTGAAATGCTTCATAAACACCGAACAGCGTGAACTTTCCAACACACACAGTTACACAGTCACACACACAGACGAAACATAAAACACACATTACGCATACGCCATGTGCAACTAATTGCCCATGCTGTGCTCCTCGGCCACCATATCGTATATATTCGTTCAGCTGATTGAGCTGTGTGATTTAAATAAGAACGATGTCATTAGCCCGTGTTCACATGACAGCCTGATTAGTTATTTATATGCTCACATTCGCATTAGCTGTGGGGCCAGCCATTAATCGTTAAATAGATTAGACGCCTGCCATCCTATCATTATATTCTTGTTCGAGAGAAATCTGTGGGCAAATTTAACGCTAGCAGCTGTTGCATGTTTAAGCAAAGATTTAGTCACATATTCTATGGAGATTTTTAGGTAATTCTAAAGCGTAGACTTACCCAAACGGAGGAGCACCGATGCACTGACTATCACATACGCTGCTCAGCTTTAAAGAAATTTAAATTTGAATTCCCAATACGTCAATAAATGCTTTAGGCTGTTTTCATTATGCTGAGGCTAACCAGATCATTTGCCATCCAGCAGTGATTAGCGCAGTGCACTCTCGTATTGTTATTGCGGTTGCTAGTGGTCGCGGTCGTAGTTGTGGCTGTGGTTGCGCTGTTAGTTGTTTTGTGGCCAACACTCAATTCAAACAGCAGCAGTTGTTGGCTAATCAGCACTGGGATGTCATCAATCAGTCAACAAATGGAAGCACGGATAACGAACCTTATGGCCATGGCTTGCTCTGCAATGATCTAGTGCTTGCGATGCTCGACTCTGAGCCCTGACGACATATGCCCTGCACACAAAGCTAACTAGAACCAACGACGGGTGTCCAATTAAGGGATGCTCTTTGCCCCAGGTCTTGACTGAATGGCGCTTAACTTTGCCTTTGACTGCAGTATGCTAAATGTATTTAAATAAAATAAATTTAAATTAACAGTATAACTCTAAAAGTTAAACAGAAGCAACTATGCAATTCCTATATCTCTCTTCTCGTATATGTGGGCATTGATTATCTGGTCTCCTGGTCACTCTTCACAGTTTTGGTTGTCCGCCTTCAATTCTAAAAACTGGAAGTCTTCCACTTGTTGATGGTGAATATAGGCTAAAAATAATTGATATCTTAAGGGTTTCATTAAAAATTACATTCATTGAAAGTAATGTTTCGATTAAATCGAAATTTTTGAACTAGTTTCTTTAGCGATCCAATATGTATGCTATAGGAGGTGGTCTTACTGGGACTTAGCTTATACTGGCTGGCGGACGGACAGGCGACAGACAGACGAACATGCTGATTCTGTGAGATGTTTCTGTGAGAATGTATGTAACACACAAAAGGAAGCGTGGCAAATCCCATTAAATATATATTAAAATAGCACCTACTCATAGGGTTCAGGATATATCTTAGTCGCGCAGTCTCGACTAGTTGACACCCGGACTTCATAATGACGTTGATGACAATAATGAAAACAATCAATATTTGAGTATTATAAAGTAATCAATTAATAAAACATTAACTAGCTACAATTAAATTTCATAATCTAATTCTTACATTACTTTCAAATCTATATTTCGATTATGATGCTCACCCACAGCCAGTCCAGTCCATATTAATATCAGCGGAGTCACTAGCATGCACTTCCAGCCACAGCGTTTTTTTCGGCCTTTCGCGGGCATAGTCACCTGTTTGAGCTGTTCCAAATAATCAGCGTCTATGGGTCGCATGTGCCAGAGCAACTTCTGAACGTCGTACTGCAAGATGCTGTCCAGCTCGTCTTGTGGTATATCTAGCGGCTTCGGCTTCAGTTCCACTGGCACTCGCACATTGTGTATCATGCCGCGGCGCACTCGCTTAAATAAGCACAGAATGGATTGAGTGTCGAAAAGTTTAGCTGGCGGCACTGGAATGCACTGAACGCAAAAGCGATGACAATACTTTTCGGCATGATTGAACTGAAAACCGTTGAGACTGATGAGAATCTCGCTGATATCGTATGGCTCGACGCAGCCGCACTTCGGGATGGCATTGTATTGCCATGGCGCATTCGTCAGTATCTTGAAGAGCAGCTTCTGCATAGTTGGATTCAATATGGTGATTATACGTTTCTGGGTGCGATCGTATGGTGCATAGAAGACCATATTCTTTGGACTAACACTGAAAAGTTCTGAATTCGATTCGCGCGTCATTTTAACTCGATTTTAGATTGGCGCCAAATACTTTTGAATTATGAAAATCGATTTTAATACCGCTCTACGACTTGCCTAACAACTGCTTTCTATTGTTAGTTGTTCAGTTACTGAAATGATTTTGACAGCATTTGCAGTGACTTGAACTACAATTTTTGAACCTGACTCAGCCTGCTTCAGGTTCAGCTTCAGCTGTCTATGCATATGGCTTTCATTATGTTAAATATAAATATATGTTGATTTCTTATTTAGCAGCTCTATTACAGTAAAGTCAACCCAGTTTGACTTCTCTCTATTAAATTTAAGCAATTTCTTTACCATTTTCATATGGCCCACTTACGTTTTATTTACCTCAAAGCCATTTTCACAGTTTTCTCATTCTAGAAAAATAAATAAAATAAAAGTTAATAAAGTTCAATTAGCATGCATTTATAAATAAATTAATTAAATTCCATTAGCATGATGCAAAGTTGTCAGCTTAAAGCCAATTAAAACTATATTTTGATGCAATTCCCAGCCGCTAATACTGCTGTCGTGGACTTTGAGGCCTTAGTAATCAAAGTTCACATGGCACAGAGATCAAAGGTATTCAGCTACTAGGCACATTTGGGCCATGGCTTTAAGGCTTTGGTGCAATTGTGTACATGTCGCATGAAATTAAACTCATACAAACAGTTTGGCTCACACAAACTCTGTTGCTGAGACCGAGACATAAATTGCTGATAGTTTTAAGAGCAATAAATTATCTTTTAATAAATTGGTGCTATTTTATTATCAGTTAAAATCAAGCGAGTTGCATGAGTAACGTATTCCAGCTCAAGAAATTTTTACTCTCTAAGATGTACCTCAGATATTCCGGCTTTACTTTACTCGAAATATGTTACTCGCTGTTGCTGTTGATTATGTCAATAAGAAAACATCGAATGTCGAGCAAGCTTTGTTGACTGTTTTTTTTTTAAGTGAGATATTTAAATGTGTAGTGTCAGTCGGTTCCATCAGCTGTCATCATGTCAAAATTGTTTGTAAATTTGTTTTTTTTTATCACATAAGTGGATTCGTCTATACAGTTGCAAGTAGCTGAGCAGAAAATGCGTAACAAAGAGTTTCATACATAGACAATCGCAGTCTCACCATCGTCAAAAACATCATCAATCGGACAAGCAATCAATCATCAGGATGGCACATAAGGAGTCACCAGCTCATCTCAAACGTTTGCGACAAATGTTGCAGCAGTTTGACCATCATGGCGACGGCAAGATTGAACTATCGCAATTGGGCGACTGCATAAGAGTGCTGGGCGCCAATCCCAGCGAGAAGAGCATACGACAACATGTGAGAAAGTTGCGTGCTAGCCACCTGGAACGTGTTCCCTTCGACGAGGTCATGTCGATCTATGAGAGCATCGTCGCCGCAGCTGGCGCTGCAGCTAAGCGAAATGGTCCAGGCACGGTAGCCGAACAGCTAATATACGGCTTGCGATTCTTCGATGAGCACAATACTGGCTATATACCAGCGGCCAGGCTGGCACGTGTGCTGACCAACTGCGGCGAGCGTCTAACCAATGAGGAGATGAAGGAGCTGTTAGCCGGTCGCGTCAATGATCTGGGCTTGGTCAACTATGTTGAATTCATCCATGCCATCACAACATCCAAATAGAAGCCGATATTATTTAATGTATTCATATAATTATTACAAAAATGCAATAGCCAGGAAATACAATTGAACCGAACTAACTAAAACTAAAGTTTAAAGCGCGATTCAGTGAAGTAGGTGAAGTTAAACGAGGAGAGCCAACAAGAGCAATAGAAAAAGAATATTTAATAAAACAAATTATGTTCATATGATTTATATTTGATAAAGTAAATAGCTGATTAGCTGATATTTGATAGATATAGTTAAAGGAAACTATATAATTTCTTTTATTTGTTGCCTTATAACAATTCTTGGCTGGAATGGAGGGCAAACTTCAATTGATTTGATTGATAATTAGCTTAGTTAATAGTTATACCTGATTTGTATTGACTACATTCTATACCCTGTACAGCTTTATAAGCACTTTATTATGCCATTTAAGCATTACAAGCAGGGCTATATTGAAAGGACATTCTCTAAGATTATCTTTTGTTTTTGTAACACATTCAAGCTTACTCTATATAGCATTTATTTTGATTTTTTATCCATATAAATTGAAATTTGAATTTGAATTAATGCATATCTTTTTAGCTAATGTCAAAAATAGAGGAATTTCCCTTTAGTCAGCACTCAGCCACTCGGCCTTTTGCTTTACTCGCATGACTTGCCTTAGCTTTGCTCACTTATATGAGTACAGGCCAACTCTATAAGTAAAGCCATGCATAATGCAGTTTGCTTGTACAATAATTAATGAAAATGAATAATGGCTTCCTCTATTTGACTGTTTTGGATGAGCTTTTGAGCTGCTGCGCCACGAAAAGTTTATTTATTTCGTGGCTGCCACTGAGTCTTTATTTATGATACAGGAAGCGGCAGAAGTCGCAGCAGTGCGAAAGAAAAGTTAATTAAACGCTGAATGAATGTTGATAATTGATGAGCAGCCATAATGCAAACATAACTATGTTATATAGTATTATTAAATATATTAACGTAAAGTAACCACTAGAGTATATCAAGCAGTCATTCCTTTTAAACATCTTTAATAGTTAACACAATACAAATTTACAACAAATACCCATATCTAGTCGCTTGGATTCTGAATAACGACTATAAAGTAGTTATCGGAGGGCATGAGTATTACCTCAAAGTAGGAGGTACGCATGCGCATAGATATGAATTCATTGGTTGCATCCAGGTCTAAGATCACCTGTCGTGCCTTCTCCGTTAGCAAATGCATATGGCAAGCATAATGAATTGCTAGTTGATTTTCTAATGTTGACTTGATGGGAATGCCATCGTAGTCCGAAACAATAATGCCGATAATATTCTTAACACCCTGAAAACGTTTCAGCATCTCCTCCACCTCTGCAGACATCTTCAAGTCGTTAACTGATCCGTGCTATTCACAAAATTGATTTATCTTCCAGTATTTCTGTGCGACGTTTGAGTGTCCTTGGCCTATGACTGAACAATTTTTAGTGCCAACAAAAATGACAATTCACAATTCATAGCTATACAAAAGGCCTACTTCAATTGCCTGCGACAAAAGCAGAGATCGAACAAATCGTGATATTAAAGAAATTAAACTCAAATTTGTCTCTTGGCCCTCTTTAAACTCTAAGCTCATTTTGTGCAGATAATCATAAACAGAAATAAATTTATATAGAATGCAAATGTCTCACTCTGATGATTTATAGTAATACTTCATCATAGCCAAGTCCAGTTGCAGCTTTATTTGAAACTAACGAAAACTTTATTTTGTATTGTTGCTGAGCATAAATTCTCTCTGTCTCTCTCTGTCTCTCTCTGTCTCTTAGGCTGCAGAGCCGATGAACATTTGGGTAGCTGAATAATGAAAACTGAAAAAGTTCTCCAAAAAGTAAGGAAAATTAATTTAATGTTGTTGACACTCGTTACACAGGCAGCCGAGTTGGCTACTTTCCATTCGAATTGCAGATGAATTGGCCAACGTCAAGTTTTATGCGGAAATTATGACACATTTCCGGCCGGACAGCTGGACTGTGTTGGCTAGCCAAACAAACAAAAAGAGAGACAGAAAAAGAGAGACAGAGAGAGAGAATAAACTGCCGTCTGATGTAAAAGTGTGCACTTTTGAAAATTAATTAAAAGTCATAAAACTCATAATGAAATTACCCAGACAGACTCAAAGAGCGCAGGACAGTGGATAGAGGCAGAGACGCCTCTGGGCAGTCTGAGATAGTTCTGTAGCAGCAGCATGCTGCAGATACAGCAACAAGCAGTTGTCTTGCTACACCAACCAACAGCAGCAGCAGCAATAACACGGGGCTGAGAACTAAAACTTTGGACACGGGTCAACAAGGTGAAGACTTGTCGTTGTTGCTGAAAGTTCGTTACAAAATTAAATCAATGTTCAGCTCAGAGATCCAAGTCATAAAATTGTGGAAAATTGATGGCAAATCACAAAACGTCATCCAACATCGCTCTCTGCATGGCCATGGTCAAATCCGTATTTGTATTTCATATATTTATAAACAAATATAGCAACAGCTTTGCTAAAGGGACTTGTGAGCAGGCAACTCGTTAGCAGGTCCATGATCCATGACAGCAGGTGTTTACGAGACTTGTTTAGCCTGTCCAGCATTTGCATTTATTTGTTTGAGCTGTGGCCATAACAAATTGTTTACAATTTACACTCTTGTGTTAACACTTTTTGTGTGCTGTTACAGTCCTTATTTGATTTATGGCAATGACAATAGATTTTGGTAAATATAAGGTCTAAAGCCGACTTGCTGACTAGTCGACTCCAAGAGTCTTATTGAAAGACGATGTTTATAGCTATGACTTTCGTTTTTTCTTCTATATTGTCTCCTTGATTGTTTTACAAGTTGATAAATTTTCATCAATAAAGGACTTTGAGAGGATCGCAACTTTGAGTTGCCTTTTACAGAGTTTAGCTTGACAGTTTATTATGAATCGACTTACATGAAAGCAAAGCTTGCTGACTGCTGAAGTTGTTAACAAAATAATGGTGCTATTAGTCAAACTCATCATGTACGTCCTCCATTTTATGACGTGCATAATGAAGTAGCCATTTTTTGGTTGAATCGAGTTATTAGTTCATATGTCTTCGGATATGATGATGACCGTGCGCCTTGCACGCGCCAACTGTGGCAACTTCTGGTCGAAATCTTATTTACAATTAATGTCATAAGCTATGCTATCCAATACAACTCGTTTCATTGATATATCAAATATATTTCTATATTTCACAATAAGTTAAACTTGTGTAACTACAAAATAAAATCTGGTATTTGAATATTTCTATATTTACTTTGCCTTACTTAGTTTAACTTTTCCGCAGTTCCTTTATCATTTATAACAATTTTTGTCTCTACACTTCGATATTGATTTAACTTTCTGTCGGATGCCGTCAAATTAATTATGAATTCATTATTGTATTTTTATTTGTGTTATAAAATGTTACTTTTTGACCCAATGATTAATTGCAATTTAATTGAATTTTCTGTGTGGTTTCACGCACACATAAATTTGTAAATGGAATTTAATTAGCCACACGAATTTAAGGTACAAGCTGCTTACAGAATCTGTATAATGCTCAGAGATAACGATAATTGAAAGAAGCTTTATTACATAATTATCATAAAAAATATTAACTTATGACTGATATAAAATCTGGGGACAGGGTATAAATAAGTCAAGCATTTAATCCATTCAGTCTGCCACTTTCAAATATTCAGTAATGAATTCAGTTATTTGAATTAATTGCAAGCGTCTGCAAATATTTGATGAATGTAATCCAATGTGCCAAGTGTTAACGAAATGCCAGTTAACTGGGCCGAGAATGCGAGTGGGCCTGATCAGAGCAGGCAGAGCAAATGCACTTCAATTGTCAGCTGCACGGGCTTCAGCACAGCTCACAACTCACAGCTATCAAATCATCAAATTAGTAGCCAAAATAGTTGAATCGTAAGAGAATTGGAATATGATGGGGAGTTCGGGCTCTGGTGCATGAAATGTTAATGTTAATCTGATTTGCAATTTGCAATTAGAAGCAAAATATTTCGAGTGCAAAGTACATTACCAATTACGAGCACCTTTGTTTTGTTAAACCAGTTTGCAGGTGTTGGGCACTGCCAGGGCAAGGTGTATGCTTGTAATTTAATTTCGGGCCAAATTAAAATTATGATTGAGCGTGTGGGCGTAACACGTGCGTGCACGATTCGAATTGAATTTTAATTAATTTCCACATGTTCGTTGTGCGAGTGTGAGTCTGTGTGTGTGGGTTTGAAGTGAAGCCAAGCGTATTTATAAACCAAGTCAGGTTACTGTGCTATCGACCGAATTAAAAACAAAAATCTACTTAAATTCATTACGTTTGCTCTACAGACTCTCAACTGCAGCTACCCTTGACTGTTCTTGACTGTTCTTAACTGTTCTTGACTCTTCTGCTCAAGCTGACTTCCACTAAATGCTCGAGGATAACATTTTAAATTAAATATTACAGCATTGGCTTTATGCAAAAATATGCCAGCAAGAGGCCTGATAAATGTGCCCTCAAATCCATGTGTTGGAGTTGGCATAAGCAAGGTTTAGCTGGCAAAATATAGTAGAGCAGCTCATGCTTAAGGCTTAACTACCTGCCTGCATCTGGAATGTGTTAGTTGATTGGCCTAGGTGTTATGTAGCTCAAACAATTTATATGCTTGGTGTACAAAACGTTGACATCACCTTTTTCAATCAACTAAAGAGCAGCTACCCGTGTCCTCCATCAGCTGTCCTCCACCTCGACCTCATCGCCGACTCAATAAGCTGGCATTTATTTGCATTTTTTTTTCGTCACTTGATGTCGTCTGCCTGGCTGGTTGCCCGAATTCCCAGCAGTTTGTCCCCACCTACACGGCCACCCGCCGACTTTAGCGAATATTTCGCGCGGCGCTGTTGACAAATTCATCATCGTCTAAGCACGCGTCTGTCAAGCGCGCTAAGGATACAATAAATGTCTTTCGTGGTCGTCCTCGCTCGCCTGGCTGACTGGGTGGTTGGGTGTGGGTGGTTGCTTGCGCTGTGGTTGAGACACCCGCTGAGTGAAATACTCTGTCGGATTAATATGCAACAACGTTTTGCAATTTTTTGTCTCCATTTTTATTTTATTTTACTTCCTTTTTTTGTGCTTTCTTTGCTTTATTCATTTGCCTTTGGGCTTGCGCTCTTCTCCTCCAATTCAGCTCGAGCTCAGGTGCACTCTGCGAGAACAAATTAAACAACTTTATGCAAGCAAAAAGAAAAAAAAAAAACAAAACAAAAATAATGAAAAAATAAATGCTTCGGCTTTTTGCTTGCCCTGCACACAGATGGAGTAGCTAAACGAGTGGGGCTGCACATAGAATTAGTTAAAAGCGGAAAACTGTTCAGCCTGGCTCAATTGATTGCAGGTGTGCTCGTTGAATTAGTACTGCAGATTAAAGAGAGTTTAAACTATTGGCCTTGCCTATGCTTAAGACTTGCTCAAGCTTGCCGCATTGGCATATTGAATGTCCACAAATGATTGATGAGTATTCTGGTTGCGTAGGCTAATAGAATTGGATGTAACCAAGATATAGCTTATACTCTTAAGAGGGGCTATGATGTGCTGTATACGCATTAGAAAATTTGTAGATTAGCTCGAGCAGGTCTTTGACATAATCTAAGCTAAACAAAATTAAGGCGTATTTCACTAATATTTGAGTATCGTCAAGGCAACAGAGAGAGCGAAAAATACATAAAAACAGAGTGAAAAAAGATCCGAGAGTGGAATGGAGAACAAATGAGGGGAAGACATAGTGAAAGATACGAATAAGGACTGCGGACTGCCCACGGCATGGTATGAAGTTAGCTAGTGATCTCCCCAATGCTTTCCAACGAGTCTCAGTTCCACCTTTCAAAAACTTCAGATAAATATATTTCTAATTGAATTTTCATAGCTTAAATATTTTATTAAAAACAATTTATATAAGAATGTTTACAATACATAAAAATATATATAAATATATTAGTCCCTTGTACAATTAAAGCTAAAGTTCAGTTTGGTGGAAAGATTTTGCTATGGTCCGGCCATTCGATGCGGCTGATTCTCTTGAGTTCGTCGTAGGCCTGCAAGGCCAGCCAATGGAATAGGGGACTGTTCCATTGGGTGTTTGTGGCCCAGAGATCCTTGGCGCCACTCTCGGTGTTCGAATCGGCTGTCAAGCGTACCTCACTGTAACGCGTCCAGAGATAGACCATGCTGCGCATCTTGTATGTCCACAAATGGTTCGGCATATATCTTATCAGATCCTGCAGTCGGCCCATTTCATCATAGTCTAATTTCTCCAAAAAACGCTTGTTCGTCAGCTCAAATATGGTGCCGATTATCAGTTGGTAGTTGGTTTTATTCAACTGCAAGGCCAGGGTAGCCAGATGCAGTAGCTTCTTAACCGTCTGCGGTTTGTAATAATTCATTACACAGTGGAGAAATGAGTTATCCATTAAATTAATACCTTTAAACACTTCGAGCTGTCTTTCGATGGCCGGCCTGCACCACTTGAAGTCCTTCCACCAAACATCCCAATTATTATATTTCAAGCTCCGATATGACACAACCCAATCATTACGCAACTCCTGGCGAATGCGCTTCGCCAGTATTCGATTTGGATTTGTGGGAAAATTAGGCATAGCCATAACAGGTAATGCGGGCGAGTCATGTTCCTTTCCGCCCACTATGGGGGAGTAAGTGCGTCGATAGAACATGATTGCATACGAATCGTCCTCTGGCTGCGGCAGAGCGCCTGACTTGTGTTGAATCCGAGGCATATGAAAGTTGCCTATTTGAAATACTTTTCTCAGCCTCTTCAAATACCGTCGCTTGAGCCGATTCTGTTGGTTGCGCTTGCGGCTGTTGCCTATGACATACTGATTTCCAGCATCTTCAGTAGTGTTCATCCTGGTTTCGGTTTCTGGAATCTGAGGTCTTTGAAATTGATACAAATTTAAGTTCCGTTTAGTGTCTTCATAATTATCATCATCGAATCGTCCAACATTTGGTTCATTATTATTTTGAAATGGTTGATTATTATTATTTAAGTATCTGCTTTGATGTTGTAGCTCACGTGCTTTGTTGTTGAAATATAAATTATTTGTGGGCTCAGTAAATTGCTGACAATATGGAACATTGCCAAAATTATTATTAAATTGTTGATTGTTATACCCCATAAATTGTGTCTTCTCCTCTTTGTCACGCTGATCTGCATCCAAAATACTATTGGAATTGAAGTTCTCACAATCATTTGGATGCTGCGCTTGATAATTGTCATCCGCAATGCGTGGATCTGCATTTATCTTGGATACGATGGCTTCTCTGCAATGTGTTTCCAGCTCATTCACAGGCGTGGAGGTCATTCGACGGTCTAAGTAGTGGTCAGGCTCATAATGTACGGGCGAGTCAACAGCGTCTCTGAGACAATGGGAATCTGGCGTATCAGAGCCATTCGAGCTTTTGTTGATGTCGCGTGGTGGCGAGTGATTCGTCTCAAGCGTTTGAGTGTGCAACAGTTCTCGCATTCTGCGTATCACCATGGCATCCACTTCGTCCCGCCGTCTGGGGCCCAGCTGGAAGCTGAGCTGTTGCCAGTACAGCTTGAAGTCGCTCAGATTGAACTCGGGCCGCTCCAGCGTATGCATGGCCAGATCGTGGGCACAGCCGGGAGTTAGGCCCAACTGAAGCAGCCATTCACGTCGCTCGTGGAGCTGCTCATTGATGGCATGCCCGAATCGCATGCCAGGCATTCCACTCTGCATTTGCAGACAATTACATATCTTACGAATCGAAGGCTTTTTTGTTGGTATTTATTTGCTTACCTGTCCAAGTTGTTGCTGCTGCAGTCCGCGCAGATTGTTGCCATCAGAAAAATTGACTCGGCGCAGCATAGCTTAGAGAAAATTGGAAAATTTTGTTTCCTTTTAATTTTTTTTCTCGAATTTTTTTGACTTTTTTGACGTTGTAATCGGCTTGCAGTCTAAATTCAAAGTGCTGCACTTTGAGTTTTGCTTGGCTTACTTACTACAAACTGTCAGCAAAATTTAAAAGCCATGCACACTTGATTGTACTGTAGATTATATAGAAAATACAACTTTAAAGTGTCCCATCGATAAATTGACTAATAAATGAGAGTCGAAGTGCTTTCTCTAATCATAACGGGTGTTTTTTTTTATTTACATAGGTTTAAATTATGTTAAGATAAAGAATTATATTTTTAATAAAAAAGACGACTTTTTTAGATTGAAAATTTAATGACATTAATGCTTTAAGATAATTTCGGGCATGTGGCTACCATATGGCTACATCCATCATCAAAATTTTGATCATCATCGTTTTGAATCACCTTATAAAACATCTTATTTATAAAACATGATTTAATAAATATGTATTATCCAAATATTTCACAAATAATATTTTTTTTTTTATTTTAGAATATTATTTCAGGTTCAAGCCAAACTTAAACATTTGCACTTGCAACTTTGGCAAAATCAATTTACGTTTTTAAACTGTCTCAAAGAGAAGTCCACAGCCGCTGATCCATTGGCCCAGTTAAACTTGGCAATAATTTATTACAATCACTCAAGTCAATGGCGATGGCGATGGCGATGGCGATGAGGACAAAAACGTCGCACATAAAATATAAATGGATCCCTCTGACTTGGCTCGGCTCTCTTTGGACAGAGGATGCGAGAAGTGTGTGCAATATTTTAAAATTGCATCCCAAAGGGGAAAAAAAGTCAAAAAAAGAAATGAGAAGGAAAAGCATTGCAAGAAAATGTGCTACATCGACACACGTCGCAAACGAATGGGCAAAAAATTGAAATAAATAAGATATAAAATGGAAACAAATACAGCAAATGGCCCAAAAGAGCCGCCACACTACCCCCACTTCCTCTGCGCCTCTGCTCCTCAGTCCCTCAGTCCCACAGTCTCTCTCCCAACAATCCTCAATCTCAATATTCGAGCAGAATTTATGCATGTGAGACATTTGCGAAAGCCTTGCGACTCACGATAAGTGTATTTATTTGGGCTTGGCACTGCAATACGAGTGTTAAGAATACAGCGACACCAATTGCCCGATACGTATACTTTTGGCCGAGAGCGTAAATTGTCTGTGCGCCGGCATAGAGCTTACGCGGCGTATGTGGAATGTGCCCAATAACGTACGTTTCGGTTTTGTTTGTGTTTATTTGTGTGTGTGTGCGCGCATGTATCCGCAATCCGCTGACTTGGCGACACGGCCACGCCCTCAGCTTGCAATTAAAGCAAACAACAGCGCAAACTAATCTCGAGGGTCTCGTAAATTCCGTGGGGCATTCCTGAGGGGTTTACCCAAGACCAGACAACACCAGACCACACCAGATGCCAGGATGCCAGATACCAGACAGCACAACAATAGACACCGCCCGAGGCAAGCAATTGAAACTATGCACGAAATCTGCAAACGTTTGCGGAATCACTAAGCTGGTTTTCTAATTTCTATCCCTATGCTATCGTATCCTAGCCACTCTCCACTTCACACACCTACCCCAAAAGCCGCGCCCCGCCCCTCAGCATTTTATGCACTTTGTTTATTCTTCGCTGCGATGCCACAGTGTAAAAGGCGGAGGGGTTAAATGAATAAGAAGCCGGGTTAAATGCGGCTTATCGCATGTGGGAATGCCTTGCCCAACCGAGCTCAGTTGTCGAGCTCAATTTGCATATTAATTGAATGTCAAAAAAGGACCAAGGAAACCAACTTGAGCTGACTTTTGACTCTGCGTGTGTGTGTGATATGAGATTTGAAATTGACTTGAGGCCAAACACGGCTCTAAATCAACAAACGAAAAGGTGCAAATTTATATATAAATCAGAATAAACATACATAGCTCTGGGCAAGAGTTTAAGATAAATGCTTAATGATATGTAGAAATTCCTCAATTTAAATTAAGTTGAAAAACTTAGATGAAGAAGCTGTTAGACATGTAGAAATTATAGAAGTTAGCTAAAGTTGACCAAGCTTTCAGATGCATTTCAGAAACTTGTCAAGCTGCTCTGTTTGTGCTGCCAAAAACCATAGTTAGGCAAAATTGATAAATCTTTGGGGTTTTGAAATCAGTTAATTGAAATTGAAAAATGTTCTCGTCAAGTGGCTGCCAAATAAACATGCTGCCAACATGTATATGTAGTAAGATGCATTCGATAATGCTATAAATCAAAATGATTTCAGTTTTCGGTTCTTTGTTGTTTGTGACTGTAGTGGGCCTGTACAAGGTAAGCAACCTCCCAGCACAGTCATAAATCTTCAAGTGGCAGGCAGCTGGGATCTGGCTGTAGCTTTGCTGCTCTTTTGACTTGCAGGCAGCTCGGCTCGGCTCGAAATGAAAATGCCGTAACCCGCTTATAAACGCACTTCTAAGCCCCATCAAATGCAACGCAGCAACGGCAGCAGACATGAGGCACATCATCATGCCACTGGCTGCCATGACAACGAGCTGCTCTGACATGTTGCTGTCAGTGGAAATCGAGTTTTGCTCGTTTTTCCTAGCCAACGTCTCATGTCTCATGTCTCGTGTCTCATGTCTCGTGCTGCCAGCATCTAATTGGCAGCTGCATACCGCATGGACAATGGCACAATTGCCAGCACACACACACACACAGGTGCAAGGAGCACGAAGGAGGCAGAAACTGAAACAGGAGCTGAAACATTACCAATAGCTGCAGATGCGGCTGCTATATAATCAGAAGGCATTTTGTATGCAGTTGTTCTCATCTGCCACTTTAACGCTTTGTGGGCATCAGGTGAGTGCAGCTGTGGCTATAACATGCTCAATTGTTCAGCGGCACTGAGAGAAACGTTGTTGTTTCGAGCAAACCTTAACTGTAGAGGCAACGCCTACTTTAAGAGCTCAGCCCTCTTTCTAGCTGCAAGTTTGCCAATTTTTTGCTGCAGTGTAAACTTTGATTGTTGGCCAACTTTTGCCGCCTGGCTAACTACAATTTACAATTCTGGACTTGGCTACTAAGTCGACAAGCAAATATCTGACTCAAACAAAACATTTCAGTCCAATTGAGTCTCGGCTCTGGTTTTTTCGGTGCGTTCCCAGTCGTTAATGTTGCTCATAGACTACAGTCTCAGCATGGTATATAAGCTGAAAGGATTCTCTGAAATAAAGATATTTACTACAGGGTATCAGTTAGTTGGGTGCATTTCCACTGCTGCCATTTGTTAAATGTTATTTGCATACGCCGTTGTAGCCAGCTTCCTCAACTCTCTCACACTCTTTGTCTTTGTCTCTCTCTCGCCCTTTGTCACATTCTGGCATTGTCTATCTGCTGATGACTGTGCCTGGCTCTGGAACAGCTTTCTCTGTTTTAGCACAATCAAATTTCTGCCTTTTGCCAACTTTTCTCATTTTCTCATTTTCTCATTTTGCTGCACATGCTGAAAATTGCAATCACAGTAAATTTTTGGAGCATTTTTTTGCCCAGTTTGTAGTTAGCATATGAGATTTCTTTAGGTCTAATGTGCGCTAAGAGCTTGCCAACACCTCTACATATATTTAGCATATTTACTACTTCGCCTATCAATGAGGTGTCGAAAATTGAGAGATTTCGCAAATATAACAATTTGCTACAGCTAAACGCGGGCTGCCGTCTGCCTCTTGGGCTTTCTGACGTCGTGCTCAGCCAAATGCGAGAGTTGTAACCGCAGCAGCAGCAAACAAACTGGCTGAAGAGCTAGATACAAATAGCTACAGGCACACAGGATGTGGCAAGGATAAAACTGTTCCCGCACCTTGTACCCCGTTGCTGTGCTGCCAAAGACTTGTCAGAGACCACAAAGTGGTTTGCCGAGCTGCTTTAGCACTTGCCTTTGACTGCATATCACAAGATATGCAAATCTCTGTCTGTCAGACTAACTCCCAGCCTCGCAGCCGCCCAGCTTACTCGCTTTCCTCTCTTTCGCCTTGTTGATGAAATGACTTGAAATGTTGGCACAGTTTGCCTCAAGTTTTGTGCTTCACGAAATTAGCACGCAAATTACAACAACGAGCGACGCAGCCTCCGCTTCGTCCCGCCAGCTAATTGTCCAGAAGTGTGTGAAAATGTGCATTTGAAGCGATTTACGAAATTGCCATGCAACATTTTCATAATATATTTGCCGATCCATGAATAAACAAAATTTAATTATAACTTGTAGCTTAGTGTAAATATTTACTACAGCATTTTGCGAAAACTTTAAAGATGTTAATATTTCACTGCAAGGGTTCTGCTGGAGTATAAGACTGGGATATACGCTGTAGTCAGTGATAGATAGAGCTGTCCACTTGATCAAGGCAAACTTGGTTTATTACTTACTTATTCTGCTCGTTTGTGCAGGGATAGTGATATATTGGCCTTGTTCTCAGTTCGTCTTGCTGCTCGGGCATACTGTCCATGTGCATTCAAAGTATTTTGCAGCTGAAGAAAAAAACTGGAAATATATTCTGCCTATATTATAAGAATGACAAATTATTGAGCCATGGTTAACCTTCTCTATAGTTTGATTAGCAAATATATATACTTGAGCACTATGAGCTAAGCCATCACAAAAAAAAACTAGCTTTTAGAGTCAGAATCTCCAAGTTATACAGATGTAGCAGTGCTGACCTCCTCTCCAGGTAGATTTATAACAAATGTGGTCATTGATGCTTGACAAGTTTTATTTATTATTTATGTGTTATCATCTATCTCATATGTAGATAAATCAGGACTCAATGAAATCCACAAAAACGGTTAAGCCGAATGATTTGGAAATGAGATTTAATCAAGTCTGTCTAGCCGCCTTCAGATCAATTCAGTTTGTAGAACTGCAACAGCTTTTATTTCTATATATATATTTTATATGTATAAATATATTTTTAAATAAATTTATATTGAAATCTACTTTTAAATTAAATTGTTATATGCCCACACTATAATCTATATCTGAGCTATAAATTGCTATAAACATATCCAGCAGTTTAGCTACCCAATA